GTATATTACAATGAGATAAAAAATTACTCGTGCATTAATTTTTATCCAAACAGTGAACGCACCTATGGGTAGAATTTGAATAAAACTGCGTGTATAGGTATCATCGTCTTGGACCGATTGTCCGTGCTCTTATTCTCCGTCGATAGATGGGTATCGGGCTGCGCACACAGCGATAACGTTTGCGTGTACGTATATCTTGGGCGTAGGAGCACGTAAGGCTGTGGCGTCGGGACGCAGGTGGTGGCGTTCAAAGCCAATTATGCGAACGCGCCCCCGACGTCGGGGTTGTTCTCGCAAATCCCTATCCTCGTGTTTAAACGCGCAGGCAGAGGCGGAGACAGGGAACGAGAGAGAGAAGTTTAACTTGTCTACGCTATAACGGATTAACGGCCGCGATTTATTCGCAAGTAATTGCTTCCGCCCTTTAATTAACTCGCATTTATTTCGCGTAATGGCAACCGCTTGCCAGTTGTACACGAACTTTTCAGTGAAAGAGATTCCCGAAAGAAAATCTCCCCATTGTCACGCGATTACCTCGTCTCAAAATTGTCTAAGGATTTCCACAGAGGAGACACTTCGATCTCTATTAACGAAACTCTCTCGCATGCATGGTTCTGTATCATTGTACTCATAAATCTGAAGTATCGATGAACGAGAATGAGGATTGCGGTTTGATTTTCATATTTTAAATCTTATGTGTTTACTTTGCCGTAAACGAAGCTTGATTTGGGAAACGTGTCTCGTGTGAACGGCTCTGTATCATTATACTAATAAATCTGAACTATCAATGAACGAGAAGCGGGGTTCGAGCGTGATTCGAATTTGGGAAAGGGAGATCGAATCTCGGGCAAACTGGGTCTGCTCGGGGTGTTCGGAGACTCACGGTCGCCATTTCTGGACCGATAAAACATCCAGGGAGTCGACTCTTATCTTTCCTATTATCGATAGTTGGCGACGGACCAATATGGTCACAACAGAGTCGCCATGGTTACTTCGGTCGTAGTTGCTCCAGGAACGGGGCTCCCATCATCCGTGCCATTATCGTACTTTGCCATAAATAAGAACAGCCTCTCGTCTCGCTGCGATCAACCTCGAGTTCATTTCTCATACGAATTTCTAAGGAAAATCTTGGCGACCGTATTATTTGTTTTCTATCAATCGTTAATTATAAAACTGCGTAGGAAGTCTGACGGTACGGTGTAATTACGGCGGTGTAATTCGAGCGGGGTTCACGCGTCTCCGGCCATTGTGGTAGCAGATCGATCGATCGAGGGAATCTCTTCCGGGGGTGCTCTCTCAGAAAATGGAAAGGCCGGAGGGCGATGATATCGCTG